AATATAGGGGTAGATTGATGACTTAAATAAACTATCAAGTGACATTGCAGACTTTGGTTAGAATTTAAAGATTACAATTTTATGAATAGAATTATCTTCAGAGCAAGTTTTGGTGCGGTTATACCAAGACTGAATCCACAACAGCACCATCATTTTAATGTAACTACTACTCAACTGACTCTGTAGTCGAGAATGACAGTGTTGAATCTGGACTTGGAATACAATAAGGGGTTCAACCAATACCACAACGCATACATCATCTATAATTATTCACACATACATACATCCCCAAATACCGTGGTACGGCTAAGCGTGGAAAGAATTATCTCCCCCTCTCGAAATGCTCTCACAAGGCCACTGTCAGGGAATAACCACTCAGTGATTTCTCTCAGAGGGGGTGATTTTTATGAAATTGAGAAAAAGAAAAGCGGATATCTGGTCTCCTAACTGAGTTGGTAGACAGGGAGGATCCATCTAGTGGAGTGGGAAAATCCTCATTACACATGAACTCCATGATTCTGAGGGAACAAATAGCATATCAACCTAATGTTGATCACTGACTACAATGGGACTGTATCTCCTAACGCCACTCCACTACTTTGTGGATTAGACTGTTAGGTCGAAGGCTCCGGAGTGGCTACCTAAGAAAATCACCTTTTTCGGTTTGAGTACCCAGACATTATCTCAGCTCTCACACAAACCAAGTGACGAAGTGTGGTGCATATGTATTCGGTGCCCATTTGCACCAATATCTTTGTGTTTAAATACAAAAATAAATACATGCTACAAAACAAAAAATCACTTTCCAGAAAATGTTACGCTTACAAAATAGGAGAATAATAAAACGATTTATTTTTTAATAAACAGAATTGACAAAAGAAGAACAAAAACCTAGACAGTTTGACGGTATTCATTACTTAAAATGACTGTTTAGTAAGAGTGTATACATAGTAGTTAAACAATACCATACATTTTATAGTTGAAATCATGAGTCAATTGAAGTTAAACTATCATGAAAAACCTGAAAACATTGGACAGCCGTTTCGTCCTATTGTGGGACTATTTAGCAGTGTGCATCCACAATCCCGACTCGAGAGATTCGAACCCAGGACTTTTCGGGTTTTTCATGGTAATCTAGCTTGAATTGACTAATGATTTCAACTATAAAGTGACAAAAAACCCCTTCTGATAATACTATAAATATAATTGGATTATTTATCAGTCTTTTATCATTATTATAATTATATTTCTTAGAATGAAGAAAGTAAACGTGAAACAAAATACTGGATAAGGAAAAATAAACTAAACGGATAACATTTGATGATGATATAATGTGTGAAGATTATGTCATATAGTGTTACATTAATAAATTATCTATTCCTTAATGAATTCAAGATAGGATGATGCTGATAAAGTAATAAGTAGTATAAACCTGTATAGAAATCCTATTTCCTCTTCTCTGATAATGTCGATAATAATAATAATAATAATAATAATAATAATAATAATAATAATAATAATAATAATAGATTATATTGACAAAAATCACATGGTTAAATAAATTGAATTTGGGAAGAAAGAAATTGATGAACAGAAATAAGGTAATGATAATATTATTGTCGTTATTACTAAAACGCCCTCCGAAAAAAAAACGATGTGACAATTAAATTCACTTGGTGTTGTTTATTTGTAACTTCTCATTGTTATTTAGGACTGCGATTGATCAGTCTCTTGTTGGCATATGTGCATCTTGTACGGATTGCATCGATATTTCCTGAAGTCAAAAGCTTTATAAGCAACGATGGATAGTAAACAAGTAAACAAAAACACCAAATGAATTTAAACCTCATCCCATTACACAAGCAGGTGGCTATCAGAACTTAGTACCTAAGTGGATAACGCGATGGCGTTTGAAGCGAACGGTACTGGGTTCGAGTACCAGAGTGAACATCAACTCTGAGATGCAGGTACATACAACTGACGAGTCCCAAATGGGACAAAACGCGCGTCCTGGATTCCCTTGCTAGCCACTATCCTGCTTATGTGACGACCAGTTATTATAACTCTATATAGTGATCTATGTGTTAGGTTCGAGTTATACACAGAGGAATGGCGATATCAATAATGCGAAATGTTTGGGAGCAGTAGTTAAGAAATCATATTTAAAGCAAGTTTTGAGTTAAATGATACCTATCAACAAAATATACTTATAATTGTAAGGGGACTGATGCTTTTTGTAAAGTTAGAACCCATTTCATCAAGAAGCTACATATAGACGTACTATCACGTAGCTACTTGGATCATTGAACAGTAACCAATGTCATGTTTGTCTAGTTCATAAGAATAATTAGACGCCAGCAATCATGTTTGGAATGTGATCAGCTGGTCAAATAAATCTACATTTCATATACGATGTTTAGATTTTAGATAGTTGGAGGCTATCAGCACCAAAAACTCATCTATACACAAAAACAAAATGAAATATCCTTTCTACTTTTTACTAGGTATCATTACGAATAACAATGATAATGGTGACATTCTTTCCAAAATAATAGATAGCGACAATTGGATATCTGCTTATCAATTCAATTTGAATAAATAATGAATTTTCCTGTAGCATTATTTTTTAGATAAAGTATCTACAATGCGAAGCATACAACGCTGAACAATATAAGCCAGAAAACAAGAGAAGCATACTACGCCTATATGACTTTCAGATGGTGGAAAAGATTTGTAGCTCAGGTGGATGATTTTGGTGAAGTTTTGTTCTCTGAGCTGGATGACTTGGTTGTTTTTTTTCATCGTTTTTCTGAACGGCATCATCAGCATAAACTTCAGGTAGAAGTGAAGTATTAGAATTTCTCCACATATGACTCACAGCTTGTCCTGTAGACCTCGATGTTGATTGGTTATTGTTGACCTTTAACCTGTCATTGTTTATTTTTCTATTTTGGTTGTATCTCCCATTGATTTGTTTATGGTCCTATATTTGTTTGTAATTTTTCTGATTGGTTGATAATTTGAATCGATTTCAATGTGTTTGTTGATTGCAGATTGACCTAATTGCCAACCTTCTAAAAATTCTCTGGTGTAACATGGTGGTTGGAGGTGGTCAACAGGAAACCCTGGACCCGGGTTTCGTGCTACTTGGCACTCGTCAGCAAGGTGTACCTGTAATCTTGAGGGAACACCACACTTCGTCATTTGATTTGTGTGAGGGCTGAGATACTGCCTGGGTGCTCAAAACCGAAACAGATGGCTTTCTTAGGGGGGCACTCCCAGAGTTTTTTTACCTAAAAGTCTAATCCACAAGAAAGTGGAGCAACGTTAGGGGATGTAGTGACCGGTGATCAACATACGGTTGATTTGCCACTTGGTCCCTCAGGATTATGGAGTCCATGTGTACCAGTGGTTTGTAATGAGGTTATTCCCATTACACTAGATGGATCCTTCCTGTCTACCAACCCAGTTAGGGTACCAGACATTCACTTTTCGCCCTCTCAATTTCGTAAAAGACACCCTTGCTACGATAGATCAGATAACTGACAAGCAGATAGTGAAACAATAATCCTTTGACTATTGAAGAGACAAGACAGACAATCAAGAGAAGCTTAATATTCAAAGAAAACAAATTTGTAGTCGAGCAACTCTGAATATAAATCAAAAGACATAACCTTGAAACAGATAACGAAATTGGTAAACAAAAAGTGAGAGTCACCAATCAAACGACAGCAAAGCTTACTATATAAATGTGAATTGAAAACAAAAGTTATCACGATCATCTTTACATGTAAGAAACACCATTTATTAACAAAACACTAGATAACGAGATAGATTTTCCCCGCAAAGCAACTATGTATGGATATACAATCAATATTATGATAGACCCGGGGACTAAACAATGTATTTCTATTATAAATCATTAAAATAGCTGAGAACGGAACCCCCCCCCAATCATTCATTTTGCTGAACTAATGAATTCTAGAATTCTAAGAATTTTAATGTGGTAGTTAGTGTATCATAGATTAGCAATTAGAAACTATTAACATTAACTGAATCCAAGTTGGGTATTCTAAATTAAGCAGTTGGTTCGTGTTGGAATGATCTCGTAATCGACATGACAAGCTCAAAAAGACATTAAGGATCATTTTATCCCATCAGCGTTTGATTAGAAGTTTTGTTAGTAACATAGAGAAAATGAAAAGGCACATGTAGAGATTCTGATTGGCTGATTAATACACTGCTACTATGTTTAGTAGTATTCTAGAATTTTCAGTAAAACCCAAGGACTTTTAAAATACCATAAAAACCCTATATTTTCTGTACATAAACGAACCTTTGGAGTAAAGTGCTTCCCGCATATTTGTGCCTTTTCTCTCGTGTTCAAGTCGCTGTGTAGTTCTAGCTTGGGGGTTACGAAATTAGCTTAGGATCCGAATATAGCGTTCAATCAACAAGACGTATCAGTTCGGTATGTGTAACACACATTTAAGTCACTTTATTTTATGCAAATTCCCTAATTTATCAACCGATTAGCTTAGAAATTGTTACATACCTTATATTATCTATTTCATTTGGAAATTAGAAATTAAATTAACTTATTATCTAGGCACTTAGATATAAGCCACACTCTAAATGTATGAACTAATGATACTGGTTTAGCGAGAAGGGACTCGAACCTGACACTTGGTAGATGGAGATCGTATGCCTTAACAACTAAGTAATCGTTTGATCCCAGAAAGACTTTCTTCAATTTATAAAAAAACAATGTAATTTTTCAAATCCAGATGGTTTATGTACTCGACTTTGGATTGTAATTTTTTGTGAGAGCCAGTGAGATTATCCACTACTCAAAATGGAGTAAGTAATGTGTGTGTTCTCGAACCGGTAACCTATGACTTAGAAATTAAAATATTTTAACTATTAAGTCAATTAATCAATCCATAAATGAAAAACAAACAAATAAATTTACACATGAAATTAGCAAAACCAAATATTACCTCAGTTATATTTGAGCTAACATATTCTTTTAAAGCTTTTTCAATTACTTCAATATCTGCCCCATCACATCCACTTAAAGCAGCTAATGCTTCAGCAGCTTCATGACGAATAAGTGTAACATGTTTATCATTATGTAGAGCATTTAAAAGATATGGTACAGCTTTTGGATCACCACGTTGTCCTAAACAATAAGCAGCTTCATGTTGTAATAGATCATTAGCGATAGGTGATGGTTTAACATAATTACAAACAAAATCAGCTAACAATTCAAGTGCTAATGATTCAGCAGCATGACGTAATCCCCAAAGAGCACGTGAACGATCAACTAGAGTAGCGGATGGATTTAATAAACATTTACCCCATTCACGTAATTCTGTTTCGGAAACTGGTTTGGGAGTCATAATAATTGCTTGAGGTTATTAAGTAGAGAAATTAATCAAGAAGAAAATAACAAATAAATATTATCAGAAGGGGTTTTGTGGAGATTTTAGTATTTTATAGAGTTGAGATCATGAGTCAATTGAAGCTAGACTACCATGGAAAACCTGGAAGCACTGGACGGCCGTTTCGTCCTACTATGGGACTCCTCAGCAGTGCGCATCCACGAACCCACTCTCACGGGATTCGAACCCAGGACCTACCAGTTTCGAGCCGAAGCCCTTAACCGATAGACCACTGAGCTGGCATCCAACGGTGTTAATTTCTAACTTCAACTGACTCATGATCTCAACTCTATAAAATACTAAAATCTCCACAAAACCCCTTCTGATAATAATCAGGTGCTCACTAGTGACTGACTCCTTGAGGTATTTCCTGGAGTTCTAGTGAGAAGCAGTAACCGGTGGAGTTCAACCAGGTCTGTTGTGAGATAGGAACTCACTGATGACATTGGTGAATGGTTGCTCAATTTCGTGAATCAGTTGAAGTTAGAAATTAACACCGTTGGATGCCAGCTCAGTGGTCTATCGGTTAAGGGCTTCGGCTCGAAACTGGTAGGTCCTGGGTTCGAATCCCGCGAGAGTGGGTTCGTGGATGCGCACTGCTGAGGAGTCCCATAGTAGGACGAAACGGCCGTCCAGTGCTTCCAGGTTTTCCATGGTAGTCTAGCTTCAATTGACTCATGATCTCAACTCTATAAAATAAATATTAGTTAAATGATTTTAAGGGTGAAATTTTACAGTAAATCAATCAACTTTCAGTTTGAAAATCTTCCAATCCATACAACTCTATGAATGAGCTCGAATCTGTTACTGAAAAGTCTCTTACAGAAGAAGATATGTTTACAGATCGACTGAGTTATATTATCAAAGCTCATGTTTTGACTTAGGTCAATTATAGAAACACATATGATGATAAGTTATTATTTTCGCTGATAACTTGAATGGCTTCAATAGTAGTAGCCTAATCACTTGGTAAATCGTAATTGACAAGTATACACAATGATGGCTTTATTTCAGAAGTCGATTTACATATTTATACTTTCAAACATCAATTTAGACAACTGAAAAGATGATAGTCAATTAACACACTGATACTGTGACTTAATGCCTTTCGCCTTAAACGACAAAATAGTGGTGTATTTTAACCATGTTAGGAATGAAACAAGTGTTACAATGGATAATCATAGAACTGAAGTCAAAAATGTGGGATACAAGATTTTAAATGAGCGGTATGAATTTAACATGCTCACCATGAGACCCGAGGATTGAGAACTTAATTCAGTGTACGTTGTACAAACAGTTGTTAAATCCACTCTCTCTCTCTCTTTGTTATATCTGCATCCTGATTTATCATTTATTTGAAAACATAAATATTGGTACAAAGAAACAACAGGTACATATGCGCCACACAAATCTCATTTCATTTGTGTAAGGGCTATGATACTGCCCAGGTGCCCAAACTGAAGCAGGTGGATTTCTTAGGGGCCACACCCGAAGCCTTTGACCTAAAGGTCTAATCCACAAGGCAGTGGAGCATCGTAAGGAGATGCAGTCCCATGATAGCTGGTGACCAACGATTGATTCGTACGCCATTTGATCCTTCAGGATACTGAAACCCATGTGCACCATTGGTTTAGAATCAGGGTTTTCCAACTCCCCTAGGTGGACTTTCCGTATCCACCAACCCGATTAAATCGCCGGACATTCGATTTTCGTCCTCTCAATTTAGTAAATAACACGCCGCCACGAGAAGGCAATGAATAGGACTTCCCTAGTAGATGCTATGAGCGTGGCCTTGTAAGAGCATTTCGAGAGAGAGGGCGGGCTCTCCCCACTCTCGACTGTACACGGGCATTTGGGCAAATAGCCTAACTCTTCCCATTTAGTCACAAGTATTTTAATAAAGTTGGATAGTGGCTAGAATTAGAATCGGAAACGCATGTTTTTTCCTAGTCGAGACTCATATCAGCTGATTATATCTGCATCGAAGTATGGGTCAACTCTGCCTGGAACCTGCCCTACGGTTCCTGTAGGTTGTAAAACTAAGAAAAGAAGGAGGTTTGGAATCGAGTCGACAAACTCATTTTGTAAAAACAACTTTGCTAACCACAAGAAAAATCAAACAAGACTGTCTACATCGAGAATGAAACATGATTCTTAAAGTCTATTATAAGCCACTATTCAACTTCAATGAAAATACAATGAACAACTAACGAAATATATATGATACAACTGACGAAATCTACTGAATGTATAAAAGTAGTTTCTTTACAAAAACACTATACATTGTGTATTGTTTGTTTGAATCATCCCATTACTGGGTTCGAATTCCGGAGTGAACATCAACTCCGAGATGCAGATACATCCATCTGACAAGCCCCAAATAGGATTCCATTGCTAGCCACTATTTATCTTTACTTGTAAACACAATATTGTTCAAATAAACAGTAAAAACGCAAAAATATGAGCACAGACCAACTCTTTGAATTCACAAACACAACCAATGAGAACTTACAACATATTTATTAAGTAGTATATGTATATTTGATATATTTGACATTATACAACTATTTCTGTCAGTACACAAATATGTTATTTTTTAAATAGTGTAACCAAACAAAAAAGGGTCTAACACTGTTGAATATAGTTCCTTCCAAATCAAGAAAAGAAAGTCGACTAGGAAACACATCCAAAAAATACAACGGATTGGTCCTTTGTTGAATATGCATATATCGAAGGATCCGATTGCATACACGTTTCTGCATGAATTAATGTTTTATCTAAGAAGATTATTATTATTATTATATGAATGATCTAATGTGTCGAAAAGTTTCTATGCTGCGACAATGAATGAACAACGCCTTTAATACAATTAAGAAAAGAAAAAAAGAGGAGTAATTATTGCACATATAGAAGAAAAGTATTTTCTGGGGGGTGGGGTGGAAAATAAATTACAACGAAATTTAGAAAACAAAAAAAATAAAATAAAACTAGACAAAATAATATTGAACAGAATAATCTCCGTATGTTATGGTTATCAGTATAGGGTGATAAATGAGGTTTCTATCATGGTAAATAATAAATGCCGTTTCTTTTTTTTCTTTCGTCTTTTCTTTTAAATAAAAATGTACAAAAAACACAATAAATGAATAAAAATGTATAATGTTTTACAAATTACTAACTAAGTAAATTGTAAACAAGAAAAGGGAAAGATGAGGAGGGGGGAAGGGTAAGAAACAAACAAAAAAAGAAGAAATTTTCCTACTATTTGAAGAAGAAAATATGTTCTAGTTTATTGCACTAACAGTTCTGTTTCCGATTTCTTTTTTTTACATAATTGGTCTGTTCAATATTGAATATAAAGTTTTGATTCTTCTTCTTCTTCTTAAGATTAGACTAAATTGATGAATCGGGTATTTGGGAGCGATGAATTGAAAAGATGATTATGATAAAAAATAATGAATAATTGTACAAATGCATTTTTTTTAAACCAATAAATAACAGTAATAAATAAAGAAAAGAAAAAAGATAAACAATCATTGGCTATTGTACTCTTATTTGTCTATAAGAAGAAAAAAAAGAAGAAATAGGTATTACATAACGTGTTGTGAATGAGTGTGTGTGTGTGTGTAAACAAGAAGAACGAACACACTATCCACTAAGGATTCATCAGCTAAAATGTAATATACACAAAAAAAAGGGAAATATATCTGAAAAAAATGACTTAACAACTTAAGATATAATCTTGTTCACATGGTTCACATGATCAGTAAATGTTTACCCTTTTTTTATACAAATATATTGAGTACGTACATTCAATAAGAATGCCACATACTACTTGTACACTTTGTTATTAGTAGTGTAATAATAATAACCTTATCTCTTTATTCAAGTAGAAATTAATCTGTATTACAAGAAAATCATTACATTTACACAATTAAAAGTTCAGAAAGGTGTTATGAAGGACAGAAACACTCTACTATGCTTTAAAATGAATACTAGAAATACTAATACTGACCCTTATTATTCTTACTACTACTACTACTACTAATACTAATACTAGATAAAGAAGAGGTAAATACTTGAGCAAATATGTTTAAAACAATGGAAAATAAAGAAATCACATTATTCATTGAATCTATCACATTGGAATTGATCGATGCTTTGTTACTTTCATTTCTAATTGTTGTAAAATAGTTGTGACCGATTGAGAAATACGAACATCAAGATTCTCAATTTGTCTGTAAATATAAAAATAAGACGAATAGAATTTTTTTATTATATTAATGAGAAAACAAAAAAATTGTTACAATTATTTAAATGAAGTGAATTAAAGAGAGAGAGAAGTAAAACTAATTTATCTAGTAAAAAGTGAATGTCCAGCGCTTTGACAGGGGTGATGGACAAATGCCCTGGTTTATTCCAGGGTGAAAAGAGTCCATTCTCCTATTGGAAATGCTTTCACATGGCCACGTGCATACAACCACTGCCCTTTCGCTGAAGGGGGGTGCTGTTCACGAAATTGAGAGGACGAAAAGCAAATGTCCAACGCTCTAGCCGGGTTGGTTGATGTGGAATGTCCACCTAGGGAAGTTGAAAAACCCTGATTCTAAACCAATAGTGCACACGGACTACAGTATCCTGAGGGAATAAATGGTGTATGAATCAATCATTGGTCACCGACTACCATGGGACTGCATCTCCTTACGATGCTCCACTGCCTTGTGGATTAGACCTTTAGGTCAAAGGCTTCGGGTGTGGCCCCTAAGAAAACCACCTGCTTCAGTTTGGGCACCTGGGTAGTATCACAGCTCTCACACAAATGAAATGAGATTTATGCGACGCATATATATTTGGTGCCTCTTTGTACCAATATTTATGTGTTTAAATAAATAAAATAAAAGACTCTATCGCCAATATCAGTACTGTGTCATTACGACTGATTTCTTTCGCGTAACTGG